TGCGGGTTTTTCGAAACGCCGCTATTACTAATTTAACTTTGTATTACTGAGCTAAATTTAATGTCGATCATGGGGTTTATCAATCCCAACAACCATTATTGCCCTGAGATGATTCCTGTTACCGTAAAGGCTCAGATTGAACAACGTCCTCCTTCTCCCCCTTGTAAACTTTCATAGTGCCTACTGATTATGTTTGCTCTCGGTGTTCGAGAACTTTCCGAGGGGAACATCCAGGTTATTTCATTCTTTTTGATAAATGTCAGGGTAAAACTTGCCCCGACTGCGGTAAAGTAAGGAAATTGAAAGAGGTTAGGTTGCTTATGTGAGATAAAACCAGATTTGGGTGTGCAAATTGCGATAGAGCGGCGGATGCTTTTTTTAATGGGGTTTGTGGAAATTGTTTTTGTAAGGCTCAGGGAAGATTTTACCATGTGACTTACTTATCTGATTCATCAGATCAGCTTGCCGTAACAATTTTTAGGATAATCATAAACATTTCTAATCGGGCGTCTTCAGTATTAGAAGTTAAAGCCTCAATCATTATGATAATGGTGTTGTAACTTACCTGTATGTACATTTATTTTAGGGACAATCATCAATCGTAGGTTTCAAACTTTATTATTTAAAGTTCTAAAATTCCGATTACCGTAGTTCTAACAATGAAGTTTGTCACATATTCGATAAGTAAATTGTCATATCAGTTTGAGAAAACAAACGCCATTGAAACACTCTTGATAACATTATTGCGATTTTGCCGTCATCTCTTGCGCAATTTTTTCTAGCAAACAATTTTACGCATTTATATTATAACTTTTAAAATGACTATTTTTAACTACTGTGTCCTTATCGTGCCCATAACCCGTGCGCGTTGGTGGGAAAAAAAAAATAAGAAACCGACAGCGATTAATTGAGCAGAAAACCAGCCAAATTGTCGCTATACGAGGAGCGCTTGAATCTGTGAGAAGTGAAGTAAGGATTATATTATTAGATCTTGCTTTAATAACAAGTTTACATTTATTTATAATAACTTTTGTACAATAGATAAACAAAGAAAAAGATCGAGAAAGGCAGTTCGATTTTCGAAAGCCGGTGGATTATACGTTGAAACAACTCGTCAATGATGACGACTTTAAAATACATTTAACGAACGTCTGCAAGGAATACAAGGAAAACCCAAAAAGCGGTAGAAAATTGCATAGATGGACTCCACGCCGTCTCCCGCCTCCGGTGGAGCTTTGTGAGCTCGACTGGAAGCCTGCTGAACTAGCAGCATTGGGTGTTATTTTAACATATTATAAGATTCTCACGTTTTTGTGGGCGAAAATAAAGAAATCGGTTATAAGTAAAGTTCTGTAAATGTAAAAAGGAGTATTAATTAACTTTTCCTTAAATGCTGGAAGTTTCATCATTTGCTGGAATTGAGTCTCAATCTTATTAGTATTAGTATAGCTAACAATTTGACTCTGATTTGGTTTTTGGGCAAAGAAGATAGAAGCTTAGTATGAGGGTTTAAATAATTCTCTTGTCTTTCTCACCTTTCTTTAGTAAGTATTCAAGGCCTCTTAAAGGTTAGCTAAATTAAAATATTCTTGCTCCTCTTTTCCAAATCATTTATATGTTCTTGATAATAATAATAGGCAATATCTTTTAAGTATTCTTTTCTTTTTTGGTCCCTTTCAACCAACTCCTCTTATAAGCTAGGGTGAGTATAATCGCAGCTACCATTTCTTTAATTATTAGATTTTGTTCAACAGGTAATTTATTTTGAGAGTAGAATTGTTTTCATGCTAAATATAAATACTCTATTCTATAATTCAAACTGCCTGTTATTTCCTAGTTTTTTTTTTACTGAGCTTATAATCAGAGTTTTCTAGTATCCTTTTAAAAGTAAAAGCTCTTTGTTCTTGATAAATTTCACAGATAATCTTTTCTCAGTCTAAATATATCTGTAAGGATTTAGTATTTACTAGTTTAAAATAGTGCAATTTTTTCTCCTTCTAATAGTGTTGGACTTAATGTAAATGAGTTTCATATTAATATTTTTACAGATAGAAGTCCTATATAAGCATATTGTAATTCAAGTAAATTAAAATGTTTATCTCAATAAGGTTGAATGTTAGTTACATGCTTGCATGACACATAGGCAGATCGATAAGGAGGTCGACATATTAATATGTAAAGTTGCTAAAAGCTGTAAGTTGGCCAACCTTTCTTTAATGCTATATGTAAATTACCCTCGATAGGCCGGTCTCACGTGATATTCGGAGAACATCATTACTATTCAGGGGTCCGGTTCATTTCATCGAAATCATTTCGCCGACAGTACATAAATTTCATCGAAAACCAATGATAAGTGCGATAAACAATGTGTCACGTGAAATGACTGTCGGTGAAGTGTACTGTCGATGAAATGATTGTCGATGAAATAAATGCCTCCCCTATTCGGTACAGTCAATCATATAGTACAATCGCTTATTGATTAAATGGTCGTTGATTATTCCGTCATGAGAGCAAAATTGAAATTGACAGTACTTTAGAAACAAGCAATATTCCTGATGATAATGAAATTATTGCAGCCGTCCAAGAAGCTCCTGAGGTACACCTTTAGCGTTCAATCGTAGGTGTAAACAAATAAAGAATGCAAAACTCCAAGAAGCTCCTGAGGATGAAGGAGGTTTAACGGTATCTAACAAAGTGGCTTTAGAAAGCATTCAAAATTTACATAACCATTTGTAACAGAATAACGATATAAAAGTAAACAGTTTATTAGTTTCAGGGTTAAGAGACTTAAAATGGGAAATTGTAAAGAAGCGAACGGATTCTTCGATACAAACGAGAATATTTATGGTTTTCCATCTAACGATTCGCTTCTATAAAATTAAATTTTCACTAAATTAGTCACGTGGATTCGATAACAGCCAGCCATCCGTGAAGCGACTTATCGATGTATAAACTTAAAATGCAATTTACATAATTTGCAGTTGTGAATAATCAAAACATCATTAGTCACATTCAGCCACACCAGCCTCCTATTTATGTTACGTAACAAAATGTTCACTTTGTCTGGTTTGTTGCAGGCGGCCCCATATTAATATTGCATACATTATTGTAAAATGTAGATGAACAATGCAAACGTATACTGAATTGATAATAAATTTTGGGTTATCATCAATAATTGATTCTGGTTTACATGACGGAAGTGTGGTGCCAGTTTTTCTCCTCGTCTTTTGGAGAAAAAACGTGTATTAAACCAGCTCCATTATATGGTTGGCGATCGATCCAATAATTACGTTTCCATATATAGTATTGAATCACTTGCTCAGAGTTTATGACCAAAGTCTAACAATGTTTATTAAGGTTGATCGATTTTTCAGGGATGTTATGCAGGGTCAATCATTATAAAAACAATCTGTCCTGGTTGTTTCAATAGCTTTTTTGCTCATGTACAAATTAAAATGGTTCAAACAAAAATGAAATCTAACTCTTATTCCGAAATAAAACGAAATTCACCGACTCTGATAACTAATATTTCTAACTACCGCAGTTATTACAAATCTAACTAATCCAATAAAAATACATGATAATAAAAAATACCTCAGTACTGCGCCGTTTACACAAACTTCTTTTGTCACAAACCTCAAATTCTCCTTACATTATTCTCAAAGAAGCATCTCTCGCATCGTCAGTAAATCAAATTGCCATTGCTAACAATAAATTTCTTACAAATTCTTATTAGGTACTGTGCAGAGTGACGTAAAAGTCTTTATCTCTGCGTAATCAGGTGATTTTAGAACTCCGCATCGAAGACTTAATTTCGCGGGAATCGTTTGTGTAATAAATACGAACCTTTTTCCGATTATGCCGAAGTCTAAGAAACGCGTCCATTCGTCTCTTGTTGATATGTCCTATTTGGACCTGAGCAACTTAGACTTGGACCGTGCGTACAGTCTCCGAGAGTTCGAATACATTAGTGAACAACTTAAAAACCGTCCTATAAAAATTAAAGAAGAGTTCGTTCA